TCTCAGCCCCGGGTATCCTAGTGATACGTACTGCTCCAGTGGGATAAGCTCAGCTGCTTCCTCACTGGAAATCATCATTCCCGTACTCCCCCCCTGATCATCCATCACTGCTCCTACACGTCCTGGGCCGTTAGCTATGGGAGCTGCAACTGCAGCAGCTGCAGGCGCGATCACGGCTCAAGGCTGCATGGCACGATGGGGGCAATCTCGAGCCAAGTGTCCCGGTTAGTGACATGTAAAATAGGCATTTGTCGTTGTTCCGGCTGGCCCCGCTGCCACTTGTGCAGTAGCCATGCCTCCCTGCATTGGTGCTCGCACCGCAATGGGTCGCATATTTCGCATCATAGCTTCTATTCGGGCATTGTGCTCCCGTTGTTCCTTCTTGCTTTCTTGGATTAGACTAACCAATGTTTTAGATAGCTCCAAGATAGCAGCAAACTCATTCGTTTTTGCAGGTGACTCGATGGTGGGTGGCTGTGGAGGTGGCCGAGTTACGGTTGGGGACGCCATTACCGGGATCCGCCTGTCTACAGTCGCTCCATGGGGTGCGATCCTCGGTGTTACCTGCTGTACATACGTAACGGGTCCGGCTACGAATCCCATGTTTTCGAATTTTTTTTGTAGTGCGGCCAACTCCGCCCTTTCTTTTACAAGTTCGGACGAGTCTCCTTCTCTACCATAATCCTCATTTTCTAGGAAGCTAGCTGCGAATTTCCGCTCCATCTCTTCGGCAACGTCCATAATTTGTTGCAGCGTGTGATTAATGGGAGAGAAGTTTTTACGTAGCTTCCCTCGAATCGTTCAGTTACGTAGTCCATCAATGAACAGGTCCCGGCCCTTCTCGCCTCGCTCAGTCTTTACAAACATTCGATGAAATCTGTTCCGATACTCGGTAATGGATTCGAGTGGTTTCTGGACTCGATCCTTAATCATAAAGAGTGCTTGTTCAGGGTGAACATAATCGAAGTGGTTCATGAAATCCCGCTCGAATGTGGGAAGATTTACCCATGCATAAGTGCTATACCAATGATGGGCGTCTCCCCCCATCCGCGCAGGGATGTTAATCTGAGCTTCATCGTTCCTATACCGCTGAGCTCGGAGCGTGGCTAACCATGCTCCGGCGAGATGATGTGCTGGGTCAAATAAATAAAGATCCGGTGGAGCCGCAGGGATTCCCGTAGGCGGGTTAGGCGGTTGATTGGGGATGGCCGCTGCAGCAGCTGCTGCAGCAGCGGCCGCAGCCATGGCGTCTGCTCGCCTTGTGGCGGATGTTCGGCTTCGTGTACCTACAGGACTACGTCGACGTATATTACCAGCTGGAGGGCGCCTACGTGGAGCCAGATCGCCTCGCCTTAGCTAGTATTGAGTCTTCAAACCCTTATCGCTTAGCCACGTGTCGGGCTCCGATACCAACCTCACGCCCGACGCGACTTCCTGATCGGAGTGGGATGGGGGCTTGGAAGTGCGAAGAGGGGTGTGCCAAGGATTTTGGGGAAAGTGGGGGTTGAAGTCCCAAGTCGGAACTGGGATCTTCGGTGGCCGAGTTCAAGGGTCGTGGGCGCAATACTGCCGAAGGGCAGGGCAAGCACGCAATTACCACCTATCTCACCGTTTCGGGTTTGATGGGGATCACCGTGGTGCGGGGGACTGCCGCGCGTCCTGCCTGGGGACTCAAAAGGGGGTCGATCGTTGCCCACGCCGCGGGTTATGGGCGCGTTGGTCGAAGCGAGGAGCACGCGGGTGGCGCCTGAGTAAACACTCTCAGCACGGTTCAGGCCAATACGCGGCTATGACCCGCCATGGCACCACTGTGAGCTGGTGATATGGGAGGAGAACACGGAAGGGAGGGTAATTAGTGGCAACAACCGCGAATCCGGGAGAGGTGTAATATTGTGTGTAATCGGGTTCGGGATAGTGTGCTCCGTGCGGATCGTTGGTTATTGCGCGATGGAATTCACGCTCACACACTTGGTTTCTCGTGTAATTCGGGAATTCCGGATATGCTCCTCGCGTGCAATAGTACTCCCGCGCGATTCCTGAATCCAGGGCTCAAAGTATTCCCTATCCCAAGATGAGCTAGAGCCTGAGGACCGTGTCATCGTTGCGTGCGGTTCTCAGACATGGGTTCTCGGATATGCTCGACGCAATTTTTGGGTCAGGATGATGACGTCAATTGTAAACTCAAACAGACAATCTGCACATACATCCAGCATAACGATAACGGGCAACTAATCCCGTCTACCCATCACGATGCAATAAAAACTCCACGAGGTTGTGAGCAACTAATCCCATACATTAGTGGGGAGCAAGAGGAAACGATGCGCATTTCATCCATTCATCCACGTTGACAAAAGACAATCAAAAGAGAGGGAAATGCAGGATGCGCCAATTCAGGTGAAAACCAAAACAGAGATGTCAAATCGAAGGATAGGGGGCGGTCGCCCAATCAAAATTTATGTACACAGAAGGGGAAGAGACAAGAAACTGCAAACCCATGTCCACACAACTCACTCTCTCTCTCTCTCTCTCCAATGCGGACAGTCCGTCGTCACGCACCAACCCGCGAAGCTGTCATCCCGCTTAACCCTCCTGCACCCGTCAGGTTCGTCCGTGCCCACAGTCCGTTGTGGCCCACGTCAACCCCACGCATTCGGCGTCAGCTCTTTGGACCGCCCAACTCCGCCTCTGCTCACCTCTTACTTCGCTCGTATGCCGATCTCACATCGCACAACCCCGAGCTTCCAGTTTGCTAAGAGAGCAAGTTAATCGCTCAGCCATAATTTATAGCGTGCATGCATGCGCGAAGAACACGGAATTACAAGGAAGTAGATAGATGGGGGAGAGGGAATGCCTACGTTTGCATGGCCGGGCCGCGGCGTGGGGGACGTACCCACTCCACGCATCGATCCGAACATGCAACCGCGGCTGMTCAATGKAGGCARGGGGGGGGRGGRAAGGAAGAAACGAGMCGGGAAGAAGAAGAAGCAAGAAACAAAAAGATACAGTTACAAAAGTGTGCGCCAAAAATTACAGTTGCAGAAGGATTAAGGCGCCAATCAATCAAGGTTTCGGCGCAGCAGCAAGAAAGAGCGCGCGAACGTGCAGAGCAGCGCCCCAGAAAAACAGAAATTCCTAAATTCCTAAATTCCTAGCTAGCCTGCCGATATTAAGAAAGGTCCGAAAATAAAATCAAAATTCCGAAGGCCGTATGGCTCCGACCAAGATTCGAAAAGAAAATTCAAGAAAGAAATTCAAAAAGAGACACCGAAATTCCCGCGCGATGTCAGCGCGCTCAAAAGTCCGACAAAACAAAATTAAAAGAAGGAAAACGAAAAAGAAGGGACGTCAACATTTATTAATCGCGCACTCGGCGCGCACTCCGCATCTGACCAGGTTTCGCCCCTTTTTCCCGTGTATTCCCGAATTGTCCCCAACTGTAATCAGGGGCTCGTGCGAGAACGAAGAAACAACAAAAAGGCAAGGACACACATGCAATTTTCCATCAACCCATCCAATCGATGTGGGACCCCGCTTAGCACTTCGCGCCGAAAGTCGCACATTACAAAAGCTAGTTCGTCACAGCACATTTCTAGTGTCGTGGACCACAAGTCTTTGTGTGAAAAGCACCGTTTGAGCGCATATCTGTTTAAACAAAGTTTCATTCCTCTACCATTCAGCAACAGCAGCACAGCAGGCTTCTGTTCTGTTCCATGAAAGGGCAAAAGGCAACAGGGCTAGTCATGACCCAGCCCCGGTGGAAGCGGAGTCAAACGAGCCTCGTCGCACGGGAACTTTGGACACCAGGCCCAAGCAATCTCCTACTAGCCCGTAAGTTGACCAACTAGTAACTCATGCTCTCTACTTGCCCACCACAGTCCTAGCTGATTCAAAGGCGGGGTACGTATCCTCGAAACACCTATCATCATCCTAATCAGTTCATCCAGACCGACCAGTGACTCACGCACTCTACGCACCCACCACAGCCCTAGTCGGCCGCACACGGTCTAGCTGATTTTAAGGGGGGTACTTATCATCGAGACGCCTATCACCATTATCAGTTGATCATGACCTCATCCCAGCCCTAAGGTTGTGTATGTGTGTATGTACTCTGTATCGGAGGTATGTGACTGTACACATTGTGTATGTTCATAATGTGTGTGCGGACCCGATTTGGAGCATCTGCAAATTGAGTACTGGTGAGAGGTGCTCTCCTCACCACTAGTACATGTGTGTGTGCCTTGATCTATGTGTGTGTATGGTATCATTGGTATGTGATAGACTGTGTGTGTGTATGGTATCATTGGTATGTGATAGACTGTGTATTGTGGTTGTGCCCGTAGATAATATCTGGGATAGTATCTTATGTGTGTGTGTGTGGTAGAGACAGGCCTATCTGGACAGGAAACCCCCAAAGTCCGGAGCCGGACTCGAACCTGAGACGTGCAGTATGAAACTGGAGGGTTCTACCACATGCACTACCGTGGGAAGTGGATATGATGGGCGAAATGTCCAGGCCTAACCTCATGCTGGGTTTGAGCCCCGGTCGGAATTCCAATAGTTTATCGGTGTACCAACTGAGCTAGGGCCCCCGTCGGTCCAGTGAAGCTTCCGGTGGTACGGCCAGCTCAAGCTCATCGCAACCGTCTTTTCGCGAACACAACGCGCCCTGACAGTGAATGTATACAAGCTATTTTCCGGTCTTATACATCGACAATGACTGTTGTTTGCCAGCAGCGAGTGTCTATGGCAGGTACGGTACTTCCTATCTGCAGGCAGGCTGAGGTCATAGCACACCCGCCTGGATGGAATCTGGCGCTCTAAAGGCATACTCACACTAGAACATTTTCTGCGTGTTTGCCGTCAGGTTCATCATCTACGTGCGGCTTTACTTGAGGTCAGATAATGTGAGTACTCAGGACAGAAACCCCGCCTCCTGCGCAGTACAGTCGGTCCCATATACGTATATTTATGACTATACCATCTCCATCCTCAGTAAAGCGGCGGCCGGGCTCCTTTTTGGCGTTTGCCTCTACCTGCTGACGGCCGCCAACAGTGATTCCCGTGGGCGAACCAGATATTGAACTTGCAGTTCCTGTAGCCTCCTCTGTTCCTCTTCATCCTTCCTCCCCTCGACCGCCACCTTCTGAATCCCTCCGCTGCCGACGGGTGATTGGAACGAGGAGCCGGAGAGCGAGATACAGAGAGAGAGACAGAGACACACACACACACACAGAGAGAGAGAGAGAGAGAGAGAGAGAGAGAGAGAGAGAGAGAGAGGGAGATGGAGCGCGATGGGGAGAACAGACTGGCGGCTTTGATGCTGGGCTTGATGTGTGTGGTTGCCATTGCGCACGTGGGTGCACAGGTGGTGGCCCCGCCCCCTCCTCCTCCCGCCGGCACGGACATTGTCAGTCTGATTTGCGCGCAGCCCGGCTTGACTGCCTTCTGCAGCGCTCTTAATACCTCTCGGGTCGGTCTGGAGCTGCTCCAGAATGTCGCAGTGCAGCGAGTCACAGTTTTCGCTGCCAATGATGCGGCCTTCGGTAGCGTTCGCGCTGATATCAAGGCGTGCTTCGACAGGGAGCCCATTGACGTTTTGTCGCAGGTTGCTGCTTTCCACATCGCCACGGGATGGAACTACACGGCGGCGGAGATGGCGTCGGTGTACGTCCTCACGACTCTGCACGGTATGCCGCTGATGGTTGGCAGGAACGTGAACGGCAGCCCGCTCATTGAGGGAACGGCTAGCATTGTAGGCCCAGATGCCATTCACACCGTGAATGCAACCGTGCACGTCATCGACGATGTCCTCATTCCCGAGAACCTTGTCAGGACCATCTGGGAGGAGTGCTTCGGAGTGCCTGCTTCGTCCAATACGCCAGTGCCGCCGGCCAGCTCTATTTAAGCAGATTGTGTCTCCGTCAAATCTGTCCGTTAATTACGCGTGGTAGTATCCTCTCAATTTTAGTTAGCCTCTGTTCGAACGTCTCTATTTCCTTCTCTCTCTCTCTCTCTCTCTCTCTCTCTCTCTCTCTCTCTCTCTCTCTCTCTCGCTTGCTATGTGCGCTCTTTTTCTGTGCACTCCCCCGTCTGCATTCCCTCTCCTGGTTTCTATGTGCGCTCTCCCTTCTGCATTCCATCTCCCCCTCTCTCTCTATGTACGCTCTCTGTTTGTGCGCTCTTCCATCTGCATTCCCTCTCTCTCTCGCTCGCTCGCTCTCTCTTGTTGCAGGAGGAATCCGTGTGTAGGTGTAGGTAGTTGCTCGGTCAATAAGCTTCGCAGTTCTTAGATGGCGGAAAAAACGTTTTCTTTAGATTTAGTTAAAGCGTTGCGGAGGCTTGCCTCTCGTTTGCCTCCCTGTCTCTTTCTCTCTCTCTCACATTGTGTATGTGTCTGTTTTTGTCGTTAAATGATGAAACCTAACGAATCCCGCCTTCTGCGTTTTCGTAAGTTTGAGCAGATGATTAGGTCGTGGTGATTAGCGATCCTGCAGGCAGGGGAAGGGAATGCGTAGTGCTTCTTACTGGATACGGAGTTATTATTGTCCAATTTCGAATCGTTGGTAATTAGCGCGTTTTGAAAATGTTCAATCGAATAAATTTTATGGGGCAGGACGTGTCGCCGGTCGGGTAATAAATAAGAGGAGGTTGAAGGAAGATAGCATTCCTTTGATTAGGAAGCTTAGTGGATATGTCATAGTCAATAGTAAATATTACGGAAATCAAAATTATTAGAGATTTAAAATCTGAATTCAGTTCAATCAAGCGACGTCCTCACATGTTATTGACTTCACCGCACTTCAGCTAGGCAAAGCGACCCGTGCTGGCCTCTAATCGCAAATTAACGAAGGTCGCACAGCGAAACGTACCACCTGCTTGTCTCTTTGGAGTTTTACAGTATGATCATGGCATTCGCTGCCTATCGTCAAACGAAGCGGGTCGCAGCGAAGCGTGCTTGTTTTGCTGAAGTAGGAAGTGTGCTCTTCTTGTTGATGTGGTGTTAATTTAAGTCTTCTTAGATTAATTCAATTAAATCTTGTCGGATTAATTTTTATTCCATTTCAGTCAGTCATTTTGTTGTCATGTCAGTCATTTTGTCCCGACGTCAAGTTGTTTTCGTGTCGAAGAAATCTGCAGGCTTGACATCGCGTGGTAACCGTTTGTCATAAGCGAAGTCGCCCCTCTCTCTCTCTCTCTCTTCCTTTCTCTTCCTCTCTCTCCCTTTCCCTCCCTTTCACTCTCTTGGTGTTTGCCCGCCAATTCCTACCTCCTCTTTGTCGCCGATTCTCTCTTTCTTTCACCGTCTCTTGTGCCTCGTTCGCTGTCTATTGAGTAAGAATTGCGTGCTAGGTCTATGGTTTAATATGATAAATGTTAAATTATTTTCTGCTCGATGTCCTGAGGAGGAATGGGTGCGTGTCTGCGTGTTATTCCTTGAGAGTTCTTAAAACTAAGTTGTATTTTCCTGTGGATATCACCTTTCACTATCTACCCACCACAAGTCCTAAGCGTATACCGGGGGCAAATGAACTTGAATTGCTTGTGACATTGAACTTGAATTGCTTGTGACATTGAACTTAATTGCTTGTGACATGGAGAACAATTGCTTGTGCGAGCGACATCGAAGGAATTGACTTTCGGCCTTGCGTTCTGCCTGGGCGACACTGCAGTAACTGTGTGACCTGGCAGTGATTTCTGTCAGCTCTTCGTTTCTTTTTTTTTGGCTTTATCTGTTCGTTTTTCTTCGTTTCAACTTTGTTTTTTTGTCTTGAACTTTGTTTTTTCGTCTTCAACTTTGTTTTTTTGTCTTGAACTTTGTTTTTTCGTCTTCAACGTTGTTTTTGTTCTTTTTTAGTTTTCTGCTTTCGGTCTAGGCTTTTACTCGGGATGGAGGCGTTTTACGACATTTGCATGTGTATGTTGTCGTTTATGTTTGGAAGTTTTTTGCGGAGGGATATGTGAAGAAATTACGGTTCTTGCCGTTTACGTGTTGGTGGTCTTTACGACATATGGCTTACGTTAATTGAAGTTGCTTTCAATTTATTTTTTTCACGTTCTTCCTTCGTAAAGAAATGTTTTCTTGAAATATTCAATTCTGGGACGACAATGTATATTTCCTTGGACGGGAATCTTGAAATTTATCTTTTCCGTGAGGAGAACAGAAGACGGACGGGGTGAGGAAATTTGTATATATGCCAACCCAGAATCTTTTTCAAATGTTCTTTTTTTTTTAAATCATACGAATTATATTCGATGGGACTTCCCCCCTCACCCTTTTTTTTTCCTGTAATGAAGTGGTAAAAGTGCAACTCCGGGTAGGTCGGGCCTGAGAATGAATAATTGGGAAGAAGACTGAATGTGGCCGTACGAGTGTCCCGATGGATAGGGCGTGCTCCTTTTTTTTTTGGCGGTCCGGTTCGCGTAGAATGAGTTAGTGAGGGCTACATTGTAATTTCAGTTTTCTGCGAGGGCGGTATTTACTTTCCCCGAAGCGAGTGATATTCGGAATCGTGTACAATATTTCAACTTTCCTTTTTGTTTTGTAAAGGTGACGGCAGTTATCATTATTGAATTGCCCGGCCCTAGATTAATCAGAATTGTTCTGTTCTGTTCGTTAGGTTGCATCTGGAATCGAACTCAGGTCTGTAATTCGACAGTTCACTGGGGTACTAGCTGGGCCAGGTCGGCTTACTCGCTTAACTTCGCGCAGATACGATTACAGCAAATGCCTAGTATTAAACTAGGCTATCAGAGTGGCCCGGCGGGCCGGCGCCGCTTCCCCGGCCGGGATAAGAACAAAAAAAAAGACAGGAAGTAAACATTTTTTTCCGAATTTATTTTTATTTGAAATTTGGTAGGGAATGTCGATGAGACCCTGAGGCAAAAGTTGATCAGTCAATTATTCTGCATAACGTCTCTTTTTTTTCGTTTTTTTTGTTTTTTTGCTGGGACCTTCTTTGGCTCTTGCACGACCGGCTCGCCCGGGCAAGCAAGGTGACACGGGCTGCCTGGCTGGTTGCCTGGGTAGTTAAACAGTTGAATGCATGTCTTAAATATGTGTTTTTTAATTTGCATCGACCTTCGAATTTACGTAACATTATTATTATGATTATTATTAGTATTATGTTCTACTGGAATGAGAAGGAACGAAATTTATAGAAATTTAACAATGAAACCCATTGAAAGTGGGGGACTTGTTCTAAAATACAGGGGCCGAAATATGCCTTGTGGTTATGTTTCTATTCTTTCTTTGAATACGACTTATCGTTTCTTTTGTCTGGTCATTCTTAAGAAAATATATCGTCAGTTTGTCAGGTTTAACATAGGCTAGATTTTCTCTCGAAATGCCTGCTTTAGCTCCATTGTCTCCGCCCGAATAGAACGCTCGGTCATTTTTGCTGTAGGTGGGCTAAAAATTGGACAAAAGTACAGCTACAATCATCGGGCGTTCTATTTGGTTGAAGACGGTAGCGGGTAGTGTTTTGTGCTCCTTTCGGCCACCTTGGGAGACGTTCGAGTCCATATCAGAGTTCCTTAGGATGCGCGAGAGAATGGTCGAACGAAATGAACCTGGACGGCCTCGCCGCTTGGTGCGTTGTATAATTTTTGAGGTAATTGTGGGAATACGCTGGAGCACTTCGTTTCAAAATTTATTGATTCTCTTGATGCTGATGAGAGAAAATGATTGAACTTGGACAGCTTCGCCCCCTCTTGCACAGTCCGTAGAGTGCGGTGAAATTTGCCAAGTCCTTCGGAAATCCGTTCAGAATTTTTCTGTAATGTTTTGAAGCGGAGTGAGAAATGAAAACACGGTTACGATGGCGGCCGTTACTGTATCAATTTTGAAGCAGAATGTTTCTGTAATTTTTGGAGCGATTGCGGAATTCAGGCCTCCCTCCAGTACTCCCCACCTGCACGACGTGCAAATTATACCGGTCCATCTTTCCATGATCTAGCGGATTCTAGATGAAGATTCACTGTCGTTTGCACATTTGATATGAGTGATGGAGACAGGCCCGTCTTCCGGAGCGCCTGGCAAACTAAACTAGTGAGCGGAACCGGAAGAGAAAAGTGAAAAACAAAAATATTATTTGGACGGCCAAGGTGGGTAAATTCCTTTGCGCCTCTTTCGAATCTGACTCGAAAGAGCAAAAGGAGAAGCATACCTTTCTCGGCCTTTTAAGCTAAGATAAAGTGTAGTATCTCCCTATCGGCCCACTACGATATTAAATTATTTTTTGTGCTATGGAGGGGTCATATGGGTAAAAGCTTTTGCTTGCTCGACCCCTCCAGCGTTGCCTCTGTTTTGCACTGCAGCAGAGTCCGGCGCGGCCGTTAAACAAAAAAAGAAAAGGAAAAACAATGAGCTTGGACACCATCTCGCCGGATGCTTCATCGGTGTTATTCAGTGAGGATAAATTCCTTACGATTCCTTGCGACGTTATTTAATTTGCTCGGCCAGGCTCGTTGTCTTTGCCGGCTGTTCCAGGGGGGTCTCTCTCTCTGCAGAACTGTCCGTGGAATACGGCGGGGAATTGGCCGCGTGCATTGTCTAATTTTCGTTCGTGATGTCGTAGTTTCTGTATTTTGTTCGTCGGCTGTCACGCTTCGCAGCCGGCCATCTTCCCTCGATTACAATGCATCCTCACCACATTCATGAAGAGCGGGCGCCGTCGTTTTCCCTTTTTTTTTTTGTGCTGTTGTTTCAATGGCGATATAATCATTGAAACTGACCGGGTCTGCAATTCAGAATGAACTAGTTCTGCTGTTTCCCTCTTTTCCGGGTTTTTTTGTGCTGTTGTTTAAATGGCGTCTTTTCCGGTTTCTTTGTTTTTGTGCTGTTGTTTCAATGACGATATAATCATTGAAACTGACCGGTTCGGCAATTCAGAATGATTTTATTATTCTGTTCATCTGCTTGCGTTTTTTCCGGTTTTTTTTTTTTTTTTGTGCTGTTGTTTCAATGGCGATATAATCATTGAAACTGACCGGTTCGGCAATTCAGAACGAATTTTTTATTTTGTTCATCTGATTGCATCTGGATCGAACTCGGTCTGTGTTCATTATTTCATGTGTACCAACTGTCCTACGTAGGCCCATTAGTGGGTGCGCTGTTCACAGGGCGAGACGGAAGAGCTGCCTGCCCCCGGACAACTACGTTTTTTTTTGTTTTTTTTTTCCCCGGCCATTGAACCATCCCATCTATCCGAAATGTCGTATGCATTATGTATTTAGAATGCAAATGACCGTCTTCGAAGATACACACTTGCTGATTAGTGTGTAATGTGTGATATAAGATATGGAATGTTACCAGAGACCATTTTCTTTTATAATAAGTAAATCGGAATGATTCACCAGCAGTCGTTCCAACTTTCTCGTTTCGTTCTCTTTTTTTTTTATGGGAAAAAAAACGAAATTGAAAACGCGGTCATTTTGCTAAGAAGATCGAGTGTCGTTTCTTTTCTCGTCGATTTAATATCTGATCCTGGAAAAAAGTGTAACGTCATCATAAATATGATTTCCGAATTATTATAAATGCGGGCAGTTTGCGGTTCTTCGAACCGTTCTTTTGAGATATCTGGTGGAGGCAGCTTGAAAGAAAAATCGAATAAGCTCGGATAGCCCCGCCGCGCGCGCCGCGCGGCCGGCATCACCTCTACCCTGCCCCTATTTTCTTTCGTTTTCTTCGTTTTTTTTTTGTATTTTTTTTGAGGCTTCCTTCTCCTTATCGGTGGACAGCAATATATTTTCCTATGACCGCACGTGTTTTTTAACTGGCGTTCTGCCTTGTCACGGAACATATCTTTCGTTCCCTACCTACCTACCTACCGCTACTCCTATTAGCAAGGGGGCAATATCATATGGTTACCTCTCTCGACCGGCGGCCCCAACCCTGCACCCTAAACGCTAAGCCAAAGGGGGCAAGCATACCGTTACCTCTCCACCGAGAGAGGCAACCTCCCTTCACCGAAGAGAGGTAGGAAGTTTTTTTTCCATTTCTTAGAGAAAATAATTTCTTTTTCGTCTTCTTTTTATTTAAATGCGAAATTGATTTCATTCAAATCCTAAATTGCTTTTGAACGTTTTCATTCTGGACAAGTGATTACTTTGGTTTCGAACTTGGGTGAGGGTGTGCATTCCGTCAGTTCGTAGCTGTGTACCGACTGAGCTAGGCTTTGGTTTCGAACTCGGGTAAATGCTGGTCTTTTGTGTAGCGTGCCAGTGGTAATTTGTAGTAAAAGGGATGTCGCGAAGAAAAGCCTCCTTTTTTCCAAATCAATGTTCTTCTTTAAAAAAAAAAAAAAAAAAAAAAATCAATGTTCTTCTAGAGTCTAGACCGGGGGCCGGAGGCCCACAGACACCGTTGAGTGGAACTAGTTCAAGGG